TGTTCAGGTGGACTAAGAGCGTACAACACACAAGCAGCTGCCAAACATTGAAGAAAGCCTGACTGTTTTTAACAAGCCCCGTCTGGTCAGGTGGGACAATTGTGGGGACCACCCACTCAAGTCATTTTGCCAGAACCTTTGCAAGGATTTTTACACCAGTATTTAAAAGCAAAATAGATGTATATGAGCTGCAGTTTGGAGGATCTTTAGCTTTCTTAGCTATCAGTGAGATTACAGCTTGATGCATGGACAGTGGCAACATCTGTGCAGCAAGTTATTCCCCAAAACACAAAAAATAAGGGTGAGCATAGACTTGAAATTTTCTTTAAAAACTCAGATGGGAAGCCATCTGGTCCAGGGGATTTCCCATTTTCCATATCACTGATTGCAGAGTTTATCTCTGCTACAAAAAACTCCCTCTACAAATTCCCAGCGAGATCAGGATTCACTGAAGGAAGTTTAAGATCTTTTAAAAGTTTTCTATGTTTGATAGGCTAGCTGATGACTCAGTCATATACCTGTACAATGACTGGTAAAAATAAACGTATTAATGCATTACATTTACATGTATTAATTCCAGCATTGTTATGACATGCAGCTCCCTGGTCATTGTTTATTACTGGAATAGCTTGGTTGGCTGACTGTCACCGTAGCTGATGTGCGAGCAAACGCACATCCCTTTCACAGTGTTCATAGTTAATTCTGCCTGCTGAGTAGACAAAATATTAAATTCAGGTTGAAGTAACAAATGTTTTTTAATTAGATCCTGTGAGGGGGAGTGACTATATCGGTCTAATTGTAATATCTCATCCGTTAAATGTCCTAGTCGTATCAAGCTCCCCCTTTTGTTGTTTGCACAATAAGAAATTATTTGACCCCTCAGGTAGGCCTTTAATGTCTCCCAAACAGTACAGAGTGGCATTCCTGGTGTTCCGTTAACTTGAAGAAAAAATTCAATTTCAGATCTAAGAAATGTGATAAAGTTTTTCTTGGATAACAGTAAAGGCTCCAGTATACTTGGGCATACTTCAGTCCACAAAGGTCTGCGCGTACCGGATTAGAGTCGACGCGGAGGCCTGCAGGGCATGTTCGTGCAAAGCTCAATTTTTACGACCGTGTACACGTACTCAGTAGGGGTTGAACGAGTATATAATTTTTAAACTCGACATTAACATAATAAAACCCGAGTAGAACTCGAGTATTTGATGACGTCATAGATCTCAAGATACAAAAATAAATAAATAAATAAAACCGCAAAAAAAGGTAATTTACAAAAAAAAAGACCAACAAAACATTGGGAGTGTATATTATGCTCCTACCATTTATCATACTGCAAATAAGTCACAGGAAAAACTAAACTATAAGTTATTATTATTAAACTGCAAACGTGAAGAAACGTGCAGCACGTCAAAAACGAAACTTAACAGTGTGTGTGTGTGTGTGTGTGTGGGTCGACCACCCCGCACCACCGCCAGCTGTGGTGCGCATTAAGTTGTTTTAGAGATTAATATTTTTTGCTTTTTGTTTGTGAAACAAGGTCTGAGGAAGCTGGTTCTGGTTCGGTGGATTGGACTCGGCGTTACACCATACTCTGTGACCTGCAACAGTGCAACACCGCCCCCTACGGTCATACGGTAGTCACATAATATAACGTCACTACGGCTACTCGACGTTACATTTTTAACCTCGATAGATGTCCAAGCAATCGATGTGTAGATTACTTGAGTACTCTGTTAATGCCCTAGTACTCAGTGTAGCACAATAAACTGCCTGGAGACTGACTGTTTTGTATGCGACACCAATGTATTAAATTCCCCTTCTTGATCCCTGATCTGATTTAATGGCCTTTTCTTTTATTTTTTTTTTGCCAAAAGGCAAACGATCTCTTCCTCCTCCTCCATTGACGCCATGGTGAGAAATTATGAAATTTGTCATGAGCGAATTAAAATCAGGTCTTGCGTGGCTGCAGGAGGGTCTGGAGTTTTCCTAGTGGGCTGGTCTGATGTGTGGGCTGCAGGGCCAGCGCTCCCCCCCCTTTTTTTTTTAGAACTTTTAATTAACAACATATAAACACAGAACACTGCTGCGGCTGCCAGCTCTTTTTTTTTTTGGCCACCTGTCAATCAGTCCAGTAGGCGTGAAAGCAAATGACCAATCGGCAACCTCAATTTGTCCCGAAGGTAAACGCCCCTTGTCTGCGGAGCTGGTCCAAAACCGCTCAGGGTGGACGTTTGAGTAAAGGCTCAACTGTCTGCGGACAGTGTGTGTCGAGTCTGCACAGAAAAATGTCAGCGCGAGTACACTGGAGCCTTAAGGAGTTAAATCCCCAAGGACGATATACAGATTTAGAGACCGGGATAAGCAGTTTCATAATAAGTGGATCATGGTCCGATGAACATGGCCCCACAGTCACATTCTTTCACCAAAGGCAGAGTTTGTTTATCAAGAAAAAAAAGTAAATTCGGGTGAACGTCTTATGAACTGGGGAGAAAAATGAGTATGATCTTGAAGTAAGATTACTGAAGTGCCACACCATATGATTCAAGAAATGAATCGATTAGTTGAACGGACTTAGTCAGGGTAGTTTTTCCCCATCTAACTACAGCCAAGAGATGAAAGCACACAATTTGTGTCACCATCAATTATAAGTTTATGTGTTGGCATATTTGGTATATTTGAGAAGAGGGTATTTAAAAAATGTAGTCATCCCACTTGGAAGCATACACCAAAACCAAGATCACTGGCAGTGTGTATAGCTTCCCCACAAATATAACATATTACCTGGCGGTATCAGCATGCACATTCAAGGCTGTAAATTGCACCAGTTTACCAACTATAATAATAGCTACCCCACTTGATTTGAATTGGAAATTAGACTGAAACATCTGACCAGACCATTTTTTAATAAACTTTCCACTATCTGCAGAGCACACATGGGTCTCCTGTAAAAAGGCACTATTAGTGTTCATCCGTTTCAGGTGTGACATAAATTTCCAAAATAAAACCAATGTCAACTGAAAATACACACATTAGTGCTTACCCTAGAGCAGCAGTGGTCCCCAACCTTTATTGCGCCACAGACTGGTTTGATGTCAAACAAAATTGTCACGGACCGGGGAGGGGTGAGGGGGTGTCGTGGTCTGGGGGTCCTCCCAAACAGAATTTTGAATAAAGTAGATGCCATTTCCTGCATTCTGTTGTACTTTACAAACATTTAAAACATTTTTTGCTTCAAATATTCTGACTGCAGACAAACAGCTTCATGAGCTGAGACCATCGTCTGTTTTATCAGTTCGGTGAAAGTTCAGATAACTCCTGCAGTGATTCACACATCAGATTGTTCACAAAAGCACAGGAACTCATGCCTAGTGCAGAATGTTTAATTATATTTTTGTGTTTTACAATGAAATTACCCATTACTTTTAACTTTTAGGGGCAGAGATTTTTTTGAGCAGAAGCTAAAATGTGAAGCAACAGCTCTGATGTGACGTGATATTAGGAAGCTTGTTAAAATTATAGTTTTATAGTCAATCTTTGTCAGGCGGGTTGAAAAATATGTAGTGTAATCCTTCAAAATGCACAGATACAGCTGCGCACCTCCACCTGTCTGCTCCAGACCACATAGCTAACTGCTTTGTTCTTCACCAGCAATGTAGAACAGATCTGCGCATGCGCCTAGCAGAAACTGAAACTAACCACTTGTGTATGTTGACCTGCGTCAAGAGTGAGTCATAGACTGATGTGGTAGAAAGAATCTGGCGATTTTTCAAAATAAAACTTTTTTCCCCTTCTGTGCAGCCCGGTACCCATTGACCCACGGACCGGTACCGGTCTGCGGCCCGGGGGTTGAGGACCACTGCCCTAGAGAACACAATGCAACCATCTGGGCTCCCGTCTGCCCAATTATGAATTGAGTAATAGCAATTAAAAAACACGAAAATAAACAACAAAATATGCATACATTACTGTAAATATCGAATGTTTACCTAAAAGAGATTTTTTTAAAATAAATAAACTTAAAAAAACGCTCCCATAGTAAGGTGCGTACTGTATACCAGAACTTACGGTAATCAATTCAGAGTGTTAACACTGTACAATCACCCTCCAACACAAACAGAATGCCATAAATACTACCATTAAAGAACCCAACAGCCAAATAGAGTCAAACAAAAGCCTAAGAAAAATGCTGGTTGATGGAGGCAGATCCTGTGGTTTCTTCTGCTCCTTGCCACCTGTTGCTGGAATGACATTCCACTTGACGTATTACATCTCTTTAACGGAGTTGACAAACACTTTATCTGTCCCTCCATGTGTGATGCAGAGCCGTGCAGAAAAAAACAACTCCATACCGGACAACTGGTCAGTTCCGCAGGAGTCGCCTCACCTCCGTGAACACCGCCCATGCCCTTACCACGTCTGGGGTGTAATCAGCTGTGATGAATATGGATGATTCTTTGAAGTGGATCAGGCCACCGCTGCGTGCTTGTTGTAATATCTCCACACAATCTTTAAGATAATGCAGCCTGGCCACAATAACTCTTGATTTATAACCCAAGCCTCTCCTGCCTGGCGTTCGGTACACGCGATCGATCAGCGGCGACTTGCCCATCTGCAGCGCCTTCGTTAGCATCTTGGCTATCACTGTAGGGGTGCATGAGCCCAGCAATTCAGGAACACCAATAATTCCAATATTGTTACATTTCATATTTCCTCCCACGGATTCAAGCTGTTTTCTCAGCCCATCAATCTTATTTTTCCAACACCGCCACAGTCCCAAGCAGTTTCTACCTAATCTGAGCATATACAGTCCATTTTCAGCCTGTTACTTAGCTTGACTTGGTCAAGCTCTGCTCTGAGGCTCATGGTGGCACCTGCAAGCTTCGCTCTCACCGCCTGCAATTCATTCCTAATAAAATGAAAATCATCTGTCAGAGCTGCCTTCATCTCCAGCCTAGTTATCGCTGTGACTTCAGATTTAACTGAAGCTAGAATGTCTGAATTCAGAGCAGACTCGACTGTCTCTCCAGAGCGCAACGAGGATGGGGCCGACACACCCGCAGTTCCACCTGCCGCTCCATGACCGTGGCCCGAAGCTGTAACTGTGACATGTTGCGTTGGCGAAAACACCATTGCTTTAGATTTCTTTAGCTTAGTGAGGATATATTTATAAAAATCCAGTTTTTCAGCGGGGCTGACAGGAGCATAGCAAAATGCAGTTCACCCCACGGCCATCTTACCATACCATACCATACCATACCAATTTATTTATATAGCACTTAAAACAGCAACAAGGCCAACCAAAGTGCTGTACAAAAGAACACAAACATGCACAGCGGACAGGAAAACATAAAATAGAAATACAGATACAAATAGCAGCAGAAGCTAACTAAAATGGCCAACAGAGTAGAGAACAGACCGGACCAAAACAAATCACACCATGTTAAAGGCAAGCGAATAGAAGTGGGTCTTCAAGCGAGACTTAAAGACTGAGAGTGTGGGAGCCTGCCGGACACTCAGTGGCAACTCATTCCACAGTCGTGGACCTGCAACAGAGAAAGTCCTGTCACCTCTGAGCTTACGACGGGTTTCTGGGACTGAGAGAAGCATCTGGTCTGCTGACCTCAGGGAGCGCGGTGGGACATATGGCTGCAGAAGATCAGTGAGATAGGATGGGGCGGAACTGTTCAGTGATTTAAAAACATACATGAGAATTTTGAAATGGATCCGAAGGTGAATGGGTAGCCAGTGCAGGGAGGCCAAAACTGGCGTGATGTGCTCTCTATAGCCTGTACCAGTTAAAAATCGGGCTGCAGCATTTTGGACCAGTTGTAGACGAGCAATGGAGGACTGACTGATTCCAAACAGAAGTGAATTGCAGTAATCAAGCCTAGATGTTATGAAGGCGTGGATCACTGTCTCGAGGTTCTTTTTGTTGAGTATAGGCTTCAGCTTAGACAGCCGTCTCAGCTGAAAAAAACAGGATTTGACCATCATGTTTACGTGACTGTTGAGTTTTAAGGACGGGTCCATTATCACCCCCAGATTAGTCACCTTTTGTTTCTCTAGCGGGCTAGAGAGAATAGGTCAATGTCATAGTTCATGAGTGAGCCACTGGGATGGAACAGCATGACTTCAGACTTCTTCTCATTGAAGCTTAAGAAGTTTAAAGCCATCCAGTCCCGGATGTCAGCCAGGCAGTCAAGAAGAGGCTGAATAGAGCGTGTGCCTCTGTGCCTCAGGGGGAAGTAAATTTGGCAATCATCGGCGTAGAAATGAAAGGGTATGTTGTGTTTGCGGAAGATAGCACCTAGTGGCAGCAGGTATAAAGAAAAGAGAAGGGGACCGAGGATGGACCCCTGCGGTACCCCCCACTGGAGTGCGGTCGATGCCGAACTAAAATCTTTGATATTGACACAAAAGGTTCTGTCAAAGAGGTAGGACCCAAACCATTTAAGGGCTGACCCTGTGATGCCCACCCACTGCTCCAGTCTAGAAATGAGGATATTGTGGTCGATGGTGTCAAAAGCAGATGTAAGGTCCAATAGGACAAGCAGCACAGAATCACCTGCGTCTGTGGATATGAAAATGTCATTAAAAACCTTCAGTAGAGCAGTTTCAGTGCTATGGAGAGATTTGAAGCCAGATTGGAATAACTCAAGGATAGCGTGATCCCCCAAAAACTGTTTCAACTGAGACTCCACAATTTTTTCCAGTAGTTTAGAGGTGAATGGGAGTCTGGAGACAGGCCGGAAGTTGGACATGACTGAGGGGTCAAGGTTAGGTTTTTTCAGGAGGGGCTGGACAGCAGCATGTTTAAAAGTCTTTGGCACCACACCTGAGGATAAACTGCTATTCAGAATAGTGAGGATAAAAGGACCCAGGGTTAGAAAAACTTCCTTTAGTAGTCGAGGGGGGACCACATCAAAGGGGGAACCAGATGGCTTCATGCTGCACATTACCTGCTCCAGAGAGGACAGAGAGATGGGCTCAAAGTGGTCAAACACAGCCACGCACTGAGATGGGATGGACAGATCATGAGCTGGTGGAGAAATGAGTGCCCGGGTGTTTGCCACTTTTTCTAAAAAGAAATGGAGGAAGTTCTCACACAGCTCAGTTGAGGCTTCCAGAGGTGAAGGCTCACTGAGGTGTAGAACTGAGTTCAGGGTGGAGAAAAGAACTCGGGGGTTGTGGGAGTTGGAGACAATTAAATCAGAAAAGAATTTACATTTGGCAGCTTTAACGGTTTTCTGATAGTGATGCCAACTCTCCCTTAACATTTGAAAAGACACCTGGAGCCTGTCCTTCCTCCACTTTCGTTCAGCTTTGCGACACTGCCGCCTAACGGCTCGCGTGACGTCATTCAGCCAAGGCTCTGATCTAAGTTTCGTTTTTCTGGTCTTAAGGGGAGCAACACGGTCCAGAACATCTAAACAGGCAGAGTTGAACTGAGAGGTTAGCTCCTCAGTGGTAAGAGACACCGAGAGCTGTTCGATCCTCTCAGAATTAAAACCTTCATTAAAACGAGCAGCAGTGAAATGGTTAATGGAACGCGTACGTGCAGGAACGCGCGTCTTAGCAGTATGACAAGGGGGGGTGAAGTCAAACAATACAGGCATGTGATCTGAAAAAACATTGTCACCGATTTTCAAATTAGAAACAGAGACATCGCGTGTTAAAACGAGGTCCAGCGTGTGACCATGTTCCTGGGTGGGGCCGCTCACCTGCTGAGCTAAGCCAAAAGAGTCCAATAAATCCAGAAAGTCCTTCACTAAGGGCTTCTCCTGACAACACACATGCAAATTAAAGTCACCAATAAGCAAAAAGTGAGTGTATCTCTGAGTGATATCAGCCAAAAAGTCAGAGAATTCATTTATGAAGTCCTTAGAACGAGGTGGGCGGTAGATGAGCGCACACAGGACCGGAGGAGAGTGTCCAAGTTCAAAGGCGCTCAGCTCGAAGCTGGTGCGGGACACCGGGATGGACAACTGTTTACAGGCAAAGTTTGCTTTAAAAACTGTTAATAATCCCCCCCCGCGCCGACCTGATGGCCGCGGGGCATTGCAACATACACAGTCCGGAGGAAGTAGTTCCACCAGGGCGCTGGACTCACCATCAGAAATCCAAGATTCTGTGACGAACAGAAAATCCAACTCCTCATCTTTAAAAAAGTCATTGAGGATAAACGTCTTGTTGGAAACAGACCTTGCGTTGATTAAACACATCCTGATATTGTCCGACACAGGCACAGCTGTGGAGGGAGACGTGCGCGCCAGCGGGCGCAGGTTATGAAGAACAGCTCCTCCTGGTCTGCTGGTGCGGCGCACAGGTAAACAACTCCAGGTGTTTCCATGGACTGAGCGCGCGGGCAGCTGGCCAGCAGCCGGGCCCCGGGAGCACCACGGGTCAGAGAGGAGATGATCAGATCCAGAGCGAGTCCTGTTAGAATAATCCACACTTTGCCTCAGTTTCACCAAAATCCCTGCACGCTTCCCACGACGTCTGCGACGTTTCCTCCATGGAGAAAGGCCAGGGTCACGCAGAAGGAACGCAGGAATCTCAGATAGGACCGGTGGGGGAGAGTGATGGCCGCTGTTCAAAAACTCCGCGGGAATTTCAGCAAATGTACGGAGCTCCAAAAGTGCCCGACGATCATACTGAAAATAAGACTCGGCACACTGCACGAACCATTGTAAAAATAACAAAAATAAAATACAAGCAGAGAGCGAGAGACGGGCAGCCCTACACACTGGCGCCATCTTGAAATACCTATCTTGCACCTCCCTACCACCGTCAGTCTGACTCATGTCTTACATAAGTATGCATTTCTTGCAAAATAATATTATTTATTGAGCGGGCTCATCTAACTAATTTACTCTTTAATATTTTAAAGCAGAAGCTCCCATGACAGTGACCACAGTTAATGCACTCTCATTAGATGAGACACTGTGGCGTCTTTACTCAATCTGTTTTCTGATGGAAGTTGCTGCTCTGTTCATCTGCTCCATCAAAACACTTTTTGACTAGAGCTCACAAAGACCACACAACTAATGTCACCATGTTTAACTGTAAGACGCTTCTTATTAAGATGGATCATCCACAAACATTAGTGCTTGCCTCCTGGGGAATTGTTCGAGCTTAAGTTTGGGATATTTACATCCAACTGACTTGAAAATGTTCCAAATATTGGCAGCTGTATATCCAAAAACATATTTGATATGAAGGGTGTAACACCAGAAACAGTGTTTCAAATAGCTGGGACTAATGTAAAATAAATGTTAATAAATAAAATAAAATTAGAAGTCTAAAGAGGAAACCTACAGGAACTGGGGGCAAGGTGCTGGGAAATATGGCACTGTCACTGGGGTCCAACAGGAATCCTTGGTTCAAAATGTTTTCGTGCCTCTTACTGGGGAACGACGAGTGACAAGAAACTGTCCCAGGCTCCTCCTAAAACAAAAACAGAAATGAAAAAAAATAAATAAATAATGAGTTAGAACATGTCAAATTTATGGATGAACTATTATTTCACCATTACCATAATTTCCAGACTATTGAGTGCATCCGAATATAAGCCGCGCCCACTAAATTAAAAATAATGATACATTCATACATATATATAGGCTGCGCTTATCTATAAGCCACGAGTGTCCACGTTGTAACATGAGTTACACAGAAAGATTTTAAAAACTTTTAATTAAATATGTACCCGTAACATACACAAATACGTACAGTAAATGTTTTTTTCTGAACAGTGTTGTAACATGGCTGGTAAAAAAAAAAAAAAAAAAATTACACTAGCCTACCAGGAAGTTATTGATTGCTATCTTCATCCCCACTCATGGGGATTCCCCACCCCCTCCCCATTCTCTCCTCCCCTCCCTGTTTCATTGGTCCACTGTGACTTGTTCGGTAATTTTATTGGTCAGATTTTTTTTTACCTTTATTCATACAGGTAGTCTCATTGAGTCACGAAGACCCACCCCCCCAAGACAGACGTGTAGTGGGTAGCCCAGGTGTGACGAGGCTGAATGTTTTGGCTGCAAGAAGCTTGTTAGCCGATCAAATAATAATAATAATAATAATAATTCCATAAACTAGCTGTAGTATCAGCTGCAGCGTTGGATGCATGTGAAAAAAGTAGTGACTTGTAATCTGGAAATTACTGTACTCACAAACTTTCTTTTATTCACCTTTATGGTGCATTTGAGTTCAGTCTTGCTGGATTTGCGTTTGGATTTAGGCTTTGCTTGACAATCCATGACATCTAGGGCCAACGACTTCCGCACTTTCTTCATAGGCTGGCGATGCTGACGTCAAAAAGAAAAACGAGAGTTGAGTAATTCATCTGAGTTGGAATATCAGCAATGAGAATCCCAATTTCTCTAACAGAAACAAGAAATACCAGGATGTGTAAAGAAGCACTGTGAATTATAGCTTTAGATCTCTTGGGAAAAAAAAAACTCAAAAAAAGTTTAGACATAAGAATCTGAAGCTCTTTGGAGAAAAAAGTGGAAAGCTTCACAGAGCTGAGAAACATAGAAGGAGGAGGCACCACACACAATGATGGCTGCAAGATCCAAGAGCAAATATCCATCACAGTGGTAGACATCTGAGACGGTCTGTGGTATGAAGATCTGCACCAGGGCCTGACATGATCCACACCTTCTCCGTGAACGCCTAGCAACTCAGATGAACCAGCTGTTAATGGAAGGGTCCCACCCAGAGCGGTTGACCCAAGGCTGGACAGTCCTGATCATGAAAGACCCACCAGAAAAAGGCAACCCCATTCCTACTATTCGCCAACCACCTGTACAAAATGGAAGCTACTGTCAGGAATCATGGTAGCTAAGGTGAATAGACACATGGGTCAAAACCTGAGCAAGGCACAGAAGAAAACTGGCACAAACAACTAGTTGACAGAACCACAGCTCAAGACACACACAACACAAACCTTAACCTTACAATGTTTAGGGCTGGGTGATAACTCAATATTTTTAAAATATCAAGATATTTCATATGCAATATAAAATGAGACTATACCAATATAAAACAATAGTCTCATACTAGTCCCTTCGCTCTGCTCACGTATGATTGTGCAGCTGCCCATCCAGGCTGTCATATTGTAAGGTTTTCAGATGATACAGCGGTGGTGGGATGCATCACAAACAATGATGAGTCCAGCTACAGGCAGGAGGTGGAACACCTGGAGAGCTGGTGCAAAGAGAATAATCTTCACATCCATGTGAAGAAGACAAAGGAGATGATTGTGGACTTCAGAAGGAACAAACACACCTACACCCCACTGAACATAAGAGGACCTTTGGTGGAAATGGTCTCCAGCTACAAGTACTTGGGTGTACATCTGAATGACAACCTCAGATGGTGCAACAACACTACCAGCCTGATCAAGAAAGCTCATTGTGACGTGGATGTAAATTCCCGATAGGTGTGAAAATGACTGGGTAGCTGCTACAAAGGAGAGGTTTGGTGTTCTCCAGGACATTAACTGGTTTAAAGTGGCATGGTATGAAGCTGTCTTCTCATAAAAAAAATATGGGAGACAAATATCCAGCTTAGAGTGATTTATTTGCTGTGTTTCTTCTGGTATTTACGCATAGCAGTAACCAATAAAGTGCAAACAGAAGCTCAAACAGCAAGGCTGCATCCGTGTCAGGAGAAAAAATCTCCAACGCATGGCACGCAGCATGGCACTTTACACAGAGCGGTGCGTTCAGTAGCATTGGAACAGCCACAGTGCACTCAAGAGCATAGGAACCATGAAATTCAGAAACAAGCTTTAACCAAATAGAACCGAGCTCAGTAATGAAGCCAACTACACAACAATGTGGGCTTTCTAACAGTTTTCTTAATAAAGGTTTATAAAGTTTGAATTAATATGCTTCATTAGAATCAGACTTTTTAAAGAGCAAGTCACCTTTTCATTTGCTCATTTGCTGTGTCTGTTTAAATTGTTTAAACCTGAATGCTAGAAAACGCCTTGTATCTGTGACTTTCCTTCCCTCAATTGATTATGGTGATATTATTTACATGAACGCTCCTACAAGAACCTTGCAGATGTTGGATGCTGTCTATCATGGTGCACTAAGATTCATAACTGGCTGTGACTATCGTACCCACCACTGCACACTGTATTCACTGGTTAACTGGACATCATTAACTTCACGCAGACTCTCTCACTGGTACATTTTCATCTTTAAATCACTTCTTGGTCTGTTGCCTTCATACATCTCCTCCTACATGTCTCTGCGTGAGTGCAGCTACGGAGTGCGCTCTCAGGACATTATTACATGCAGTGTTCCCTCAATGAGGACTGAACTAGGCAAAAGGGCCTTCTCCTATTCTGCTCCTGTTTCCTGGAACATCTTACAAAAAGATTTGAAGCTCTCGACCTTGACCTCTCTAAGTGTCTTTAAGAATCTGTTGGACACCTGGCAGGGACCAATGCTGACATGTTCCTGTTTTTAGTTTTCTATATTTGTCTTGGAATCTAGCTGTTTTTTGTTTTGTTACCTTTTCCTTT